CACCAAGAACCTTAATGACCTGCTTTACTAAAGCATCTCTATTGGCAATCCGTCAGATCAGATTCCATTTAGAGGTGAAAATCTGTCGATCAGTAGGAAAATTCAAGTAAAACATTTCAACGAGCTTCCCTTTAGAACAACTTCACTTAGTGACCCCCATTTTCTCCATCCACGATGGTCATTGGATCTGCCGAAGATCTCAAGAAACGACTCATGCAGTCTTGTGGATATCAGTCTTCTGATTGGTATACCGTAACACTTGAGCAAAAGATGCGTTGTTCGGCCAGACATCCCACGCTTCATGCAGAGGCAGAGCAAAGCCTGCTGCCGCCCAATGACCTGGCAAGCCTGCGACGTACGATCCCTGGTTTATATAGTGAGCATGCACCCAGAAGATCCGTTGGTTCTACTTCTGCAGTCTCCAAGCCATAACCTTATTCCAACATGGCCAGCCCCAACCCCCTCAACGTGTACAAGGGACAGGACTCGATCCATAAGTACTTCGATCCAGAATCAGCACCGCCACTACCACTTGTTGAGATTCCCGAGTCGCTTAATCCATATCGTCAAGATGGAGTGCGTATCTATGCCAAGATGATGACTATGCATCCTGCGAACAACGTCAAAGCGATGCCGGGTACGCAGTCTCATTTTGGGCTTTGTATGCCTGGCTTACTGGATGATAGCTTTGAACCTTCTTCAAAATTGTGTCGTACCCGGCAAGACCAAGGCGGTGGTTGAATACAGCTCAGGGTCGACTGTCTTGTCGATGTCGTTGATTTCACGAGCTATTCATGGTGTCGATGACGTTCGAGCATTCCTGAGTAACAAGACGAGCTCCACTAAGCTTAGGCTGATGCAGTTCTTTGGTATTGATATGCAAGTTACCAGATCACCCATTGCTATCAGGACGGGGTTTCCCTAACGCTTTGTACCTATAGTACGCTATTCGGTGGCCCATCCCAGCCAGAGCCACTTGACGAACGCGGTGGCATCAGAGCAGCTCAGAGACTTGCACAAGAATCAGATGCAGCTGTCATCAACCCAAACCAATATGAGAACGATCTTGTAGGTCTCTAGTCACTTGCAAGGAGAAGCCAGTGCTAACATTAGCACAGAACTGGAATGCCCATGTCAAGTGGACGGGTCCGCAAATCTATAAGCAGTTACCGGAAATCAACGTCATCTGTGCTGGCATGGGAACCTCAGGTATGTCAACATGCTCCCTTATCGAGTTTGTTCACTTATGAAATATAGGTACTATGACTGGACTTGGCACATACTTCAAAGACGCAAAGCCTACAGTATATCGACTTGGGTCAGTAAACCCACCATTAACATGATAACATCCACCAATACTAACCATGACTCAGAGTTTGCACAGCTCCCGGTGACCGAGTCCCTGGCCCTCGATCCTTCGCTCTTATGGCCCCCGTCCAGTTCCCCTGGAAGCGGGCAGTCGATCATATTGAAGAAGTCGACTCTCACAACTCTTTCTCCCTGTCGTTAGATCTTTGCCGAAACGGTATCGTCTGTGGGCCGTCTTCTGGTTTCAACCTCAAGGGTCTGTATCAGCTTATAGAGAAGCGCAAGACTGAAGGTACTCTCACAGATCTGGCTGGACCAGATGGAACTATTAACTGTGTGTTCTTGTGCTGTGACTTACCATACCAGTACATCAATGAGTACTTTGATAAGCTTGGAGAGAGCTATTTCCCCTCTATCAAGAATGAGGTAGGTGATATTGAGGTCTTACTATCAACGAGCTGACACCGGTACAGGACCTTCTGAAAGTTGACTTGTATCGATACGATGAGAAGTGGGAAAGATCAGCATCAGAAGCCCTCGATACATTCTTCGACGTAGACCGAGGAGCACTACTCGACATGGTTCTTACCGACCCAAAGATTGGATCTGTCAACACCGTTGACTTACAGAGCATTCTGAGATCTAAACAGGACACTACAATAATCGATCTACGCCAACCTGACGATTTCAGCATGTTCCATCTACCAGGCGCGGTCAATATGCCTTTCGTACACGACGGCATCCCAAGTCCATTCTCCAACGCCAAGCTATTGGAATCACTATGGAAGAACCTCGAAGGTGCTTTCAAGGCTCCCGCAGCAGAAGTCCAATCTCTTCTCAGCGGAAGAAGAGTTCTTCTCACATGTTACGATGGTGATAGTGCTCGAGTTGCAACCAGCGTCTTGAGGGCCAAAGGATACGAGGCAGATAGTATCAGAGGTGGATTCCAAGCCCTGAACAAAATGAGACAAAGCTCAAATCAAACCCCGGTGGCTGGATCCAGAGAATCATCGCCTTGGGTGGATTTGAGTCAGGAGGCGCTGAGCGTTGGCGCATCACAGTCTGCTCGCGTTTCGCTATAGCGGTTTTACTCAGGATTGATAGAGAACAACTAGTTTTGATACTTGAGTCGAGCAAACGAAGAATTATTTCACTATACTTGGGTGTCCCGGACACTGTGAAATACTGCCAATGATATTGCGCCGAGAAATCTCTTTCCTCACAGATAATGCCCCGAGTTTGAGCGAGTCATCACGCTATGAATGCAGGTCTACAGCTTAAACATTGTGCTTCAAATGCATCTATATATAAAGTGAAATCCTTTTCACTACAGAGGTCAGGTCGCGAGAAGTCTAGCTCACTCCCCAGGCCCCGAGAACATTCTTCTTTCCCTCGCCCTTTTCCTTTAGACTCCCATTCTCTAATTTTCTAACTCTGTTCACGATCAATCCCACAGATATAGGCCCAATGATCGTACAGAGCGTAATAGCCCAGGTAACGATTAGAAAGATATCTGACGACTGGCCATCCGCCGTTGCACCAAAGATACCTTTGCTTTCAGCCAGTGCCGAGATCAAATATCCTATCTCACCTCGAGCTACCATGCCAATGCCAACGATACATGCTGGATATAGAGACAAAGCCTTTTCAGGTTTAGGTGTCGAGTTACGCACTTGCGGAGGCGCCTGAGACGTATCTGCGTCAGTAACGGGTTCCAGAGGCACAGCATCGCGCCCTTCTCCTTCCTGTGCAGCACCAGCCTCATCACTATGTGAGGAGTTCTCTGCGCATTGAGCACCAGGCACCAATCCTTTAGAAGAGCTTTTGAGCTTGTGCGTGAGCTTATGAGAAACCTGTACAAGGGCCCGGAAAGGATTTTTGAAGGACATAAGCCAAAGACCGCAGGCAAGCTTAGCCATTATCATAAGGATGGTGTAAATCACGCCGCGCCATATAATGGGGCCAGTGAATAGTTTTGTGATGGGTACTGAAAATCCAATAGAGGCCTGGTCTGAGTCAGATTTGTCTGAAATGGACCAAGAGTTGGGGAACTTACAAAGAAGAAAGGCTTGAGAATGTGTTGAAGGGCAGGTTCATAGTAATGATGAAAGATCACGGCACCTGAACCGCTTTCCATAACCTTTGGGAGAACGTGGCTCTCTGGAGCTGCGTCTTGGGTTGCCAACTCTTGGGTAAACAGTCTCTCTCCCGTAGCTTCAGTGGCATTGCTGCTTATCTCTTGAGCTTCGAGATGAGGAACATCGGAATCCCACCAACTGATAGTTGCACCAGCTATGTAAGCAGCCAAGAGACTTGAGGTGCCTGCAAAAGTCGCACCAATGACTATCCCGAGGAGGTATCCAGTATGGATGACAAAAGCAGTCTGGCTCATAGCAAGAACATTTGAAATTCTAGAAGTCGGATTGGCGTTTCGGAAAGCATTGAGTCGAATAGTAAGTGGTAGAACGATGAATCTGCAAAGAACAGGAATGACGATAGCAAAACCAAGAGAGACGACGACAGGTCTAACGACTGTGATGGCATCAAAGGCATCACCACCGAGGTTTGAGATAACCTGGACCATGATTAGGCCTATGACATCATCCATCATGGCAGCACTTGTCAAAACAACACCGAGACGCGTTGCAGAAAGACCACTTGTGCCTAGGATAGTAAATGTCGTACCAAGACTGGTAGAGCACAAGGCAGCACCAGCGGCAAAGGCCTGCAATGGGGTTGCATTAAGCATGGGCATAACTGCAAAAGAGAGGCCGATTGGAAGAACAATTCCAGTCGTGGCCGCGATGGATGAAAGACCAAGATTAGCCTTGAGAGATCTGAAAGATGTTGACAAACCACCTGGAACAAAGATCAGAATAACAGTCTATGCATCAGGAGAAACTCATCTACCTTCAAAGACAAGAAGGATGAGCCCAAGGTATCCAAGCTGCACTATAGCATCCTCAACCTCCCGAGAGAGCCATTTTGCACCTGGTGTTCCCCAAGCTATGCCTAGCGCTATTTGGCCAATTAGACCGCAATAAGCTATTTTATCGAGGCCATAATTAATTAAACTCAAAAGAAGAAGAAAGCTTGACAGAATGGCTATGACAGTTATAGAAGGCTCGTGGTATGGAAGTGAAGCTTCCATTTTGCTGATGATGATGTCCGTTGCATTTTGATTGTTTGTTGTGGAAGCAGGTTTAGATATGTCGGAATTTTAATTCTCCGACTCGGCTCGGGAATAAGGGAATGGAAGACATGTAAGATGCCATAGGAGAGCAATTAGACGCGCCCTCAACGATAAGCATAATTCATAAACTACAAGTTTTAACATATCATTCTAATAACTAAAATACACGGGATATCTGTGTAGTGTTTTTTTCCCCAACTTCTCCTCTCTTCTCTAGATATCGTCTCATTCTCTGTTATCCTAACCAATCGCATCATCTGTCAGAGGACGGCCGCCCTACGAGTCAATATCCATGACTGCCAAGACAGACCAATGCATTCCTTCACAGGGGGTGAAGGATGTTGGTCGATTCTGGATAATTTATGCTCCCCCTTGCATTTTAACCGAACATCGTTCATGTCCCTCACTCGCAGATTTAGCTCACCCTGAATTTCAAGTCTGCAAATTAAACATGGGTTCAACAGTGTTATTAGTTGGTTTCTATGTACATGATCTCATTTTATACAATCGTCCTATCCTTGGCCGTTACATCGAGACTAAAAAGCTCGATATCGCTTCTGTTGCTCTTCTTATCACTCCAACCTGCCGTGAGCTCCGGTGAATGTGATCCTGCCCATGGCCCAGGACCGGGGTCGCCTTCCAGAGATGGTGTTTCGTCGATTTCTTCGAAGCCACTTTGTGCTGCTCTGCGAACTGGTGCGCCAGACGAGTTGTTTGGTCGGCCGGATGTGTTGTAGTTGTAATCGTACTTGGAGCCTTTTCTACGAAGATACGGTCGGAGAGCCGGAAGGCAGGCGATGATCAGGCCGATGAAAACATCTAGGCCACTCCAAAGTTCTATGGTTTGTGAGATGAGATTCGCTGGAACAATGATTCAACTCACCAATTGTTGTGATGGAACGGAAGTCTCCGACATTTGTGAGTTGAATTGTCAAGAAGCGCGTGAGCGAGAATGCAATGTCGATTATTCCGAGAAGGAATACGCAGTAGACACCGATCTTGACTCTCTTCCGCATGTTGAGCTTATACAGAACGAGCCATGGCAGAGCAAAGACTGTACAACTGTTAGTCTACCTGAGACATCACCTGAAAGGCCACGAGACTTACGCAAGAGACTTCCAACAAAGTGTAGCGTCCAAGCAACCTGAAAGGTAGTGACCAAGGCAAAGTCATCACAGAATGGCTCCGGTCCCAATATCGACCTGCATATGGGTCAGAAGAGTTGATCAAGGGTGAGTTATACTGCGTACCAGTTTCGTTTAATCGGAAAACAGAGGAATAGCTGCAAGCATAGTGACACGATCAATGCGCATGCACAATAGCCAACTACGCTCCAAAGAATGATCCTTCTCTTGGTCATGAACGGTGGGAACAGCTGGAGGTATACGACGAGAAGTGATGCCTTGCAGAGGTAGAAGGTCACGAAGAAGGGAATGGCACTGGCCCACATGTACTACAATATCATCAGCTTTATGTTGTTTCGATTCGTGAGGACGATACTCACCCGCAGCACTCTCGATAGCTTCTCCGGGGGGACATCCCAATTAACAAGGGTGTAGTTGATCTCGGGCCTCAACACATCCTCCTTCATGTAAATAATGTCGAACGATGCCGTAACAAAAGCCGATATCCATGCTGCAACCCGTAACCAATCTGCAGCGACGAGCTTTTGTTTCTGTATGACGAGTCGCAGGTAGATTCGAGCACCGATGATGGCAGCAGCCAGCGCAATAAGGCTGAAGTTCACTGCCTAAAGTGGTGGGTTAGAGGCTAATTCGATCCATGGGTTAATTTAGGGGGTTTTAGGGGAGACTTACCAGCACAGCGGCGCCCGACGGCGCAGGAACCATTGTGAGGCTCCAGACGAAACTACAGCATTAAACAGAAACAAAAAACCAAACATGTAAAGAGCGTCAATGCTTCCGGTTCAGACCATGCAATGCAATGTAACAGAGTAGACGAAAACACAGAATGATCGTCACAAAAGTTGCTGGGGGACAATGACGATAAAAACCCTAAATAATGCTGGCGATAGCTCAGCCCAAGGCTAACCCCGGCAATCGTGGACCTAACGGAAATTCCCCCGTTCTTTTGAGCTTGACTGTAAGCTTATCAGGTGGCGCCGCTAGAGGCTTCAGGCTGAACATTTAGAGTTCACGCTACGGGCCACCTCACTTGAACTGGAATCTCGTTCCGCCACGAGTTTAACACATCTCATCTGATCCTCAAGCCCTGTTTGTTCGGTGGGAGAAAGTCGCACCATCGGCTTTAAGTTAGTCGAGACTCGCAGCGGAACCGAGATATCGACAAGCCTTCATTCCGAAGGATGAGTAGGGCTGAGCTGAGTCGGGACGAGAAAAGGATCGACGGTCGACCTGATGTGATGTGATATCAGTCGATCATCCACGTTTATTGCCAAGAATCTACATGAGTCGTAGATCTAGCCACAACTGAAGCGAAAAAGCACATAACCAACAGAGCTGAAGAGGAACTCCAATCAGCCAAGTCATATCATGAGAGGGGCACTCCTGCTTTTGAAGATTCGTCTAGGCAAAAGGGTCATTTTGCAAAGTCCCCACGGACAATGTCTCATCGTCGGAACTATTGCTGGTCTTTTTCCGACTCAAACGAACAGATGGTCTAACCAGAAGTCCCTACCCCTTGCTCACAGCTGCAATTATCGCCGGCTCACTTCTGGGCTGTTATCACCAACAAATGTCGTGAAATTCCGCGTTAGTGTGTTCCAGAACTGGAATAGACCGATAGGCGGATGCAGCGGATCCTACCCGTTGATGCAGATATGTGCCGGGTCCTCCTTGTTAATATTGGCTGACAATCGCATGCGCACCAACAGTCTCCCCGTACCCCCGATAGGCCCGAAGTCATAAACGAGCATAAACGAGAGCCACCATTTCGCGTACCTGTTGGTTCTGCAGAGGAATCCTTGTGATCGTCTGCAGTCAGCCGATAGCTTCTGCAGCGGAACCAGGGGGCTGACTCGATCTTGTGTTTGCTTTGTTCTTCGAGACTCTGCAGCCAACAAGACTATTGTTACGCTTTGTATCAGCACATCAGTTCATATTGTAAATTTCTTCAATTATTAAAAGTTCTATATGTAATGTAGTGACTCGTATACATTTCCTGTCAGCCCATCTGCCCAACTCGGGCCTAATGCTTATGAACGCAAGTGCCGCGCTTTCGAAGCTTGGCCGCATCGGCCTTGGCTCTCTCTGACAGCGCGTTGGCGTTGAAGCCGCCGATAGTTCGACGGGCGAGCTTAGCGCTGGCCTTGTCATCATTAGGGAACTTGGCCTTGACGCCAAAGTTCTGCCCGTCAGCCACATAAACCACCTCACCGCCGACCATGGTAAGCAGAACCTTCTGGCGGCCGAGTTTGGACTCGGGGACCTTGAAGAAATTGTTCTCGAGGATAATAATGTCTGCGAGCTTGCCTGCCTCGAGAGAACCGATCTGCTTGTCGGCGCGGAGGAAACGGGCGCCGTTGATGGTGATGGATTGAAGAGCAGACGTGCGGGAGATTCCGTTGCCGGGAAACTTTCCGTCAAAGGGAGGGCCTTGGGATGCGGGGGAGTTGGGGTTCTGAGGATCACCCGAGCGGGTGACGGCGACCTTGAGTGCGAGGAACTCATCGAGAGGATCAATCTGTTTCTGTTAGACATGTCTCAGACGTGAAAAAGTGGCGATACTTACAGGCCAATCGCTTCCATAAACAAGAGGTCGACCCGCCTTCTCAATCTCAGCCCAAGCCTGAAGATTGTCCTTTCGGTAGTCGGCGAGAGACTTGAACGTGTTGGGGATGTAGAATGAGCTGAGCTGCGCCCACTGGTAACTGACAATAGGATCGACCTTGAGCTTAGCAAAGCGAGGCCAGTCCTTCTCATGCGACAACTCATCGTGAGCGAGACCGAGACGGAAGTCCTTGCGGGGATACTTCTTGCGGAACGACTCAGCAGCATTGAGACCGACACGGACAGCAAGATCGCCATCGACGTGCAATTGAGCATCAAAGCCAGCAAGGAAGAGAAGCTCGAGGGTCTTGGTGAGAATAGCAGGGTTCCAGTAAGGGTTGTTGAGAGACTTCTTGTCGGGAGCCCATTTGCCATCGAGGTTGGAGCTGTTGACGGGCGCCCAGTAGGGATCAATCAGAGCAGCGGTATTGGCAGGATATGTGATGACACCGTCGATGAAAGCCTTGATCGCCTGCCACTTGAGTGTTGGCTTGGGGCCAATGGCCTTGTTGTCGTGCCAAGGAGTCAGCTTTTTGACGACGTCCTTGACGAGCGCAGGAACACCGTCAATTGACTTGGGCGCTTCAATGCGGTAGTCGAAGTACGCGCGCGCAGAGAGACCATCCTCGGCCTTGATGGTGCTGAAGAGAGTGTGGTGGTCCTCACCAGCAGCGGCTTCCTGGAAGGTAGTGATACCAGCCTCACGAAGAAGCTTGAGAGCAGCGCGACCAGCCTGGACGTTCTCCTCGGCGGTGGGGGGAGGAGGACCAGCGAGGAGGGCAGAGGCGCCATCTGAGAGAGCGCCCGAGGGCTCCTGGCTGCCAGGAAGACGAACAATCTTGCCATCGGAGGGGTCCTTGGTGCTGGAGTCGATGTCGGAGAGCTCGAGGGCGCGCGAATTGGCGAGGACGGTATGGTAGTCGCTGGATCGGATGATGATGGGTCGCTTGGTGCTGAGCTTGTCAAGCTGCTTCTTTCCAACATTTCCGCTCTTCTCAACAAGACCAGCATAGTCCATGTTGACAACCTCAAGCCAATCATCATCCGTCTTGCCAGTCTCGCCATCAATGCAGCCCTGGATGTGCTCTATCACATCCTCAATTGGCAGTGTCTGGTAGCTCAAATCGCACTTGAGGAGAAACAGGCCACCAGAGAGAACGTGCATGTGAGAGTCAACAAGACCAGGCATGGCCATCTTTCCCTTGAGATCAATGACCTTGGTGTTCTTTCCAATGTACTTGTCGGCGGATTTCTTGCTGCCGACGTACTCAATCCTCCCACCGCGCACAGCGAGAGCTTGTGCATGTCCGTTGGACGGACACATGGTGTAGATCTCGCCATTGACAAAGACCACATCTGCGGGCTTGACCACGGGCTTTACAGCGCTCGCCGTAGCGAGAAGTGCGCTGACGCAGAGAGTGAGAAGACCACGAGCCATGATTGAAGATGTCGATGATGGTGATCCCCTTCAATTGAGCCTGACGTGAGCGACGTAACATTGGTATAAGTACATTACTCAATGGTCCCTGCACTACAAGCTAACATGGGGTCTCCCCCAGCGGAGAGTTCGGCTAGAAGACCACTGTAATATTCCATGCCCAAAGAGGGTCAGAAGGCCGAGTTCCATGGTGCAGGGACTACAACAGATCGTGGTGATTCCGGCGGCTGCATCGCCTGGAAATGGCTAAGCCCAGCGGATGCTTCCCCCCAAACAGATAAGTGGACACCAACTGACCATAGTTAGTAATGAATCTATAATAGTCACTTACTGCAGGGTCTAAATCCCTCAGAAACTATTGATCCCTTTCATCCCACTGCCTCTGCGTGATTCGCTGCATTGTTTACGACGATAAGATGGTGCTGGTGGGATACTCATGTTGCGACTCATTACCTGCGAACAGTATAGTCGTATGCGATATGATCTCTGTGGCGGAAACTCTCACGGGTCTAGAATCGAAGACTAGACGTTTGCGAATGATTGATTCGAGTACCATGCGTCGTGAGGCGCGTTGTAGAGTTTGGGCTACATCTAAGGTTAACTAATAAGTTAAGGTTGCGGGTATGTAGATCCACGTGAATGACACTCGTAATACGACATCACTAACTAACATTAACTTTGTCGCACGCGATCAACAACGACAATTACGACTCTGGATATAAACAAAGTTCAATTATAATACCGTCGCGCCTCTATTAGCCCGAAACATCATCATTAGGTAAGTCACAACTAATCGCAACCTGCAAATTCTATCCCATCAAAGTCTCATAGCCATTCTCCATCATGACGTCCATCCAATACACATCCTGCTTCTCCTCGTCCATGCAAGACCACGTCTTCTTGACAAGCGTCAGCATCTGACGAATAGGCTTTGCCGCTAAAATATTTTCAAAGGCAGAAAGACGCGAAATGATAGTCTTTCTGGCTTGCAATACATCAAGACCAGCCAGAGGCACTCTGAACCTTGTACTAGTCGCGATGCTTGCCACGGGAGGTTGCTGTAGATTCGAAATCCCGCAGTATGATCTATTCAAAGACATCTCGCTGCAGATACTCACGAATAGCAGTGGTTGAATAGACCGGCTTCTAGACGTAGTCGGGATATCCTTGACCAGGTCCAGCACGTGCAGGGCTAGACAAGTCAGCCACGTATCTGCCAATGTTCTATCATCAGGGTAGCTGCTCGCAGCATCTGGAGATCCTGACTGGAATGCTTGGTTGTTTGGGCTTCCAGATTGTATGTAAGGGCCCAGAAGATCCGGAAAGTTGCGATACAACTGAAGCAAGCCCGTACATCTATAAGCTTCAGCAATGCTGACCAGATGATTAGCTGGAGTCATGTCGTCACCAGCATCGACAATATCGTTCTCTGTGGGTAGTCGAATTGCGCACAACTCAGAATGCAGCTGTTCCGAGGCAATCATAGCTTCTTGAGCACGCTGGATATCCTCCTGAGAAACAAATCGCCGGGAACGGATCCTCTTTCGTTCCTTTCGTACAAGACTTCCTACTTTGGCGACGAGCTCTTGAACTTCGATGCCAATTCCTGTCTGCGGGTGAGGCATACGCGGTTCTTGCAAGTCAAGACATTCTGGAGGTACTG